TTGTTATAATGAGCATAAACAAAACCTGATGGATATATTGTTTTTATTAGCCTTGTTCACTATCGTTATCTCTAACCTCAAAGTCCGTGTTCCTTCCCTACCCTATCTTTCAGCACTGTGAAACATATCTGAATGCATAGAGAAATAATAACTTAGAAAACTACCATATTCATTCACATGTGGCTGTGGGTGTGGATAAAACACAGAAGGGTTGAGGGTTCCTTACAACTAAAAAACGCTATCAGATTCTAAAGACCCTCAGAGCCAGGAAAAGTAGTTTATTATTAATATTACTAAGAACAAAAAAAATTAGGCACATTCTGTTGAGGGAAAAACAAAAACCATAATTTTAGAGTAATGGCAAATTAGTTAATGAACTATGATATTGTAGGTACAATGGTTTGAATTATTACTGCTCTGGGACTGCAGGTTAAGAATCAGACAATAAACACAGAACATAATACTTTTTTGCAATGGACTCACATCTTCAAGACTCCCATTGCTTGAATGAAATTTACTCAGTTGAAATTTTACACACATCATCCACCATGAAATGATATAAGAGCCTAGCATCCTGAGTTTACATACGGATTTTTCAAATCAATGGGTACCTGTTCAATCAGAACCAAAAAAAAAATTTTTTTTTTCAGAAAAACCTAGTTGACAAGTATTAATAAAAGCAAAATGTAGTCGGGCGCCTGGGTGGCTCAGTTGTTAAGCGTCTGCTTTCAGCTCAGGTCATGATCCCAGGGTCCTGGGATCGAGCCCCACATCGGGCTCCCTGCTCCGCGGGAAGCCTGCTTCTCCCTCTCCCACTCCCCCTGCTTGTATTCCTGCTCTCGCTGTGTCTCTCTCTGTCAAATAAATAAATAAATAAATAATCTTTAAAAAAAAAAAAAGGCAAAATGTAGTCCACTCACCTCCATAGTCCATATTGACTATGCTGACAATAAGGAATAAAACCTCCACCTCTAATTCATCAACATTTTATGTCTTAGAAATAAACTTTGGTTGACTCTTACTCTAATCAAAGTTATCAGTATCAGTTCCAGTTTACACCAAATGAAGAAAGCCTTTTTGAGAATTATAATGTCACTAGTGAAAATACAGGAAAATTACAAAATTAAACATGCTGAATGGAATTATTTTAATATGTAATGTGGTATATAAAATATTTTTCTTTTTTTAACGATTTTATTTATGTATGTATGTGTGTGTGTATGTACTAGAGAGAGAGAGCACGCGTGCATGCAAGTACATGAGCAGCGGGAGAAGCAGGAGAGGGAAAGAACCTCAAGTAGACTCCCCGCAGAGCGTGGAGCCCCATGCGGGTCTTGATTTCACAACTCTGAGATCATGACCTGAGCCAAAATCCAAAGTCGGATGCTTAACCAACTGCACCACCCAGGTGCCCCTTTTCTTTCTCTTACCCATTTTCATGCACAGGTCACAAGAAAGGCCAGAGGCTCTGAATTTGTCTATAACCCTCTGCAGATGGGGAAGGCTCACTTTCAGCATGTGGACCAGCCACTGCTACAGAAACTGCATTTTTTTTTTCAATTGGCCACTAGGCCACTCATCAACCTTAAGTGGGATTTGGGACACCTAAAACACAGAGGAGAAAAAATAACCTAAGACTTGCGTTCTAATTCCAGGTCATTCGTTTGCTAAATAATCTTAGACCTCTGACCTCTATCAACTGGTTTTCTCATCTATAAACAGGACCATTATACCTAACACAGGATAATTCATAGTGGCTCCAGATTTTCTTCTCGGAGGGAAACAGAAGTAATCCCCTGATTGGAAGGGGGTATGTGAAGATGCCCCTGTACAGCACTGCACTGAAGATTATGAAAATATTAACTGTCCTATCAAGAAGGGGGACTTGGGGCGCCTAGGTGGCTCAGTCGGTTAAGCGTCTGCCTCCTGCTCAGGTCATGATCCCAGGGTCCTGGGATTGAGCCCCGCATCGGGCTCCCTGCTGAGCAGAGAGTCTGCTTCTCCCTCTCCCTCTGCCCCCTCCACTGTTCATTCTCCCTCTCTCAAATAGAAAAAGTCTGGCCTTCTAGATCTTGGGGAGATTAAATCTTATCAGAATTCAATTCAACTCAACATTGAACACCTATTATGTGCAAGCTACTAGGTAGGGTGCTGTTGAAGACAGGAAAAAAAAAATTAAGAGATCCTCACCTTCAACTAATATATAAAAAGAAGAAAATAATTCCCACACTAAGAATATAAAAATATTATGAGAGAGAGTACAGAATCTCCATAATCCTGAACCTTCCATTTAAGGTCACAATCTACCTTTCAGCCAGACCCCATACTACTGATAAACACATAGTCCAGTCATCCCAGACCACTTCTGCCAAACACACTGTGCATTATGCCCTTCTGTGCTTCTGCTTGCGTCATTCCTACAGGCCGGAGTTCCTTTACCTATGTCCCACTGAAGTTATTACTCATCATCAAGACCAAATTCCATCCCTTTTGCTTCACAAAGCCCTTCCCATGACCAGTTAGAAGTAGGGTGGTGATTAAAAAAAAAAAAAGATACCATTGAACAGGAACGTAGAGGAAGGGAGGAATGAAAAATCTGTACCAGAGAAGCTATGAGATAAATATAAGACAAAGGATTTGCAGAATCTTCTAGAAAACCAGCATCCCATGCTACACAGAAAATTAACAAGTCTAACAAGTTTCAACAGGAAGAATCCAAGAGGTAAGAGAAAGCTTGTCAAGATTACAGGATACTGGGGCAACCTGGCTGGCTCGGTCAGTAGAGCATATGACTCTTGATCCCAGGGTCATGAGTTTGAGACCCACACTAGGCAGAGAGTTTACTTAAAAAAAAAAACAAAAAAAAAAAAACGCATGATACAAAAAGCCTACCAGCAGAAATCTGAGAAATGTTTTTAGGAAATATGAAACCCAAGGAGTTAGAGCCACAGTTGGTCTTTTTATCTATTATTCCGACAGGACTAGGAAGCACGTGGAAAATTAGTTACACAAATGGCATCAAAGAACAGAATTTAGTATTTTACAGTTTAAGACACAACTCTACCAGCAGGAACCTTATTAAGTCTGGAAGAATGACTTTGCTCACAGACTGGCCTATCTCATCAAAAGGGCCTTGAACTAATCACAGAGAGGTAGAAGGCATGATGTAAACTGATACTATAATGCCTCATTCATCCAACACTGACTGACCACCTCCGAATTGCCACAGCCTGGTGCCACACTGAGGGATACAGCGTTCAACCAACCAGACAAATCCCAGTGCTTGCAGAGCTTATGGAGGGAGAAAGCCAGTAAATATATGTAAATAATTTCAGGTGATGATCAGCTTAAAGAAACATACAATCAAGTAAGAAACAGCCCATGACAGGGTTGGGGTAGAAGGGTCATCTCAGAACCGAGGGGGAGCAAGGCTGACAAATCTGAGGGTACGGTCCAGATGAGAGAAGAAAAGCAAGGCTCTGACACGGAAGGATCTCAGCATGTCTGAAAACAGTGAATCCGGCCAGAACATAATGAACGGAAACCCGTAGGAGGGGAGCTGAAGAGGTAGGCAGAGCCAGATCGAGGCAGAAAGGAAGTCTAGATACACACTTCAGTGTGATGGAAGGTACTGCAGGGTTCTAGGCACAGGGCAGATGGGATCTGAGTTTGCTTTTCAATCACGCAGACTGCTGTGTGGAGAAAGGAGTGCAGGCCCCTCAGCACAAGACAATGTAGGCTCAGACTAGGGTGGTGGCAGCGAAGTTAGCACATGCCAGACATGATACATAAAGAAAGACTAGAGGCAGTCTAAGGAGAGAATGTGGCAGGGGTAAGGAAGTATCCCAAATATGACCTCCAATGTCAAGATAACACGTGCACAGGATGGGCCGTGCACAAACTTCACCGTTGGCACTTCAATGCTTTCTTCCCCACCAGGTAGTGAGCTCCATGAGAGCAGGGGCTGTCTTTTTCTTTACTATAGACCCAAAAGCCAGCATAATGCTTGCAACACCAACAGGTACTCTGAAAAAAGACTTTTTTTTTTTTGACAAATCTTGACACTTTATTTTTTTTTTTAAAGATTTTATTTATTTATTCATGAGAGACAGAGGGAGAGAGAGAGAGAGAGAGAAGCAGAGGGAGAAGCAGGCTCCTAAGGAGCAGGGAGCCCGATGCAGGACTCGATCCCAGAGTCCTGGGATCATGACCTGAGCCGAAGGCAGATGCTTAACCATCTGAGCTACCCAGGCGCCCTTTTTTTTTTTTTTTAAAGATTTTATTTATTTATTTGAGAGAATGAGAGATAGCACGAGAGGGAAGAGAGTCAGAGGGAGAAGCAGACTCTCTGCTGAGCAGGGAGCCCGATGTGGGACTCGATCCCGGGACTCCAGGATCATGACCTGAGCCGAAGGCAGTCGCTTAACTGACTGAGCCACCCAGGCGCCCCAGATCTTGACACTTTAAACACAAGTGAGAAAGTATACCCTTAGAAGTATCAGCAAAATTTAGTAGGGTGAGACTCAACATGGAGCTGGAAACACTGAAGCCCAATAGGTGAATAGGTGAGGAAGTCCAGAAAGAACCCTAAGCTGTTTCAAACACACTCACTCAAACATTTATGGAGGGTCTTCTATATCAGACCAATGCAGTATGCCTTGAACACAGGGAGATAACACACTGCCTTATCTCCCAGGGGAGAGTTCACACCCTGGTCATCCAGACAAGTACATGCCCTCCACAATGGCAGAGAACCAGGGGGAAACATGTTAGCATACCCACTTTTAGAAAGGAGAATAACGTGAATGTCACAAACTTTGTGATTGAACATAACTTCAACTCAGTAAAATTCTAGCGCAGATTAACAAAAGAGGGTTTGGGGGCTCTCAAGAAGAGGTATATAGTAAGAGCCAGCACATATACCTGAACAAGCCATTCCTGGTTAATGTCATGTCCTTGTTTGACATTAGGAGAACAGAGATTGGGAAACATATGATACAGTGCTCGCTTCGGCAGCACATATACTAAAATTGGAACGATACAGAGAAGATTAGCATGGCCCCTGCGCAAGGATGATACGCAAATTCGGGAAACATATGATACAGCTGAATTTTACTAAAATGTGTTGATCTTATCTATCTCTGAAGATAAGAGATGGACTCAAATAAGTGTCAAATATATTTGGAACTGCTCAAATGGTTGTGTGTGTGTGTGTTTTAAGTAGGCTCCATGCCCATCATGGAGCCCAACATGGGGCTTGAACTCACGACCCTGAGGTCAAGACCTGAGCTGAGATCAAAAGTTGGACACTTAATTCACTGAGCCACCCAGGCACCCCAGAACTGCTCAAATGGTCTTGGGAAAAGAGCCGACCAACTAAAGAGAGGTGTTGAAAAGAAATGAAAAATATTTTTAATAATAATTAAACAATAAATAATATCAAGGCTAAAAGATAATGACACAAGTGTTTTCCAAAGGAAAGAGGCCAGTGAACCCCACAATTAACAAGCCCTTTCTCAAATGAATATGAAGACATAATTGGTTTGCTGACCCAATCATCAGGAATAAAAACTTAATAAAATAAAAATAATAAAAAATAAAAAGAAAGGAATAACAAATATACTGGATAATAAAGTCAGAATTCCAAAAGTTCAAGAAAGTCTACAAAACTGGGCAAAAACCAATAGCTTTAAATTTCCTAGGGAAATTCAAGTTTTGTCCTCATGTTTTAAAAATCCAACATTATAGAAACATCAGGACAGGAAAAAAAGATGTCTTAGGGCTTTTGGTAGACTGCAAGCTAACATAAGTGAAGTTATTGGAAAAGCTCATTCCACCTTGGGCAACATGAAGAATCCAGAAGGAATGACTTAGTCTAGTTTAGTGAGCTCCTTTCTGTGCACCACACTTTAATGAAACTGTTAAACCAGAACTCATAAAGATGAAAGAGACTTAAATAGTACTGCCAGTAAATGCTGACTTACTGAATACATGCATTTAACTCTGCTCCCTTCCAAAATGCCATTAAAATGACAGTAAAGGGATTTAAAATATTTGGAGCTTGGAAGTGAGTAGGAGAGAGATAACTGACCTAGAAGACTCCAAAAAGCTATTCTGAGTCAACAGTGGAAAAGCCAGGAAGCATACTGACTTATGGCACAAAAAAATCCCCCAAACCTCAGGAATTAGTGGTATAAGATATCTCTGGAACTGGAGGTGACAGTGGGCTTAAATGGGAGAATTTAGTGCAAGGAGGCTCAAAAGCAGTTACACCCTTTGTGCAACTGAGCAACTAACTGCCCCTTTGTCTGCCCAGAAGGGTTGTGGCCAGGGGTACCCCATGGGAAACAAAAAAATTTAAGTGGAAGTTTACGTATTAAATATTGAGACCAACTCCCACCCAACTTTCTTTCCCCCTGTGTCCCAGAACTCTGGCAAACAGGCTAGTAATGCCCTCCATGAGAGAGGAGCAAACTTCTTTGGAAAAATCTGACCAGTCCAAAAGATACTGACACTGGGCATTTCCCAAGGAAAAAGGCCAGCCAGACCACCTTCCAGTGAAGCCCAGTCAACCATTCCCAAATGAATAGAATATTTTCAAACAACATTTTAGAGCCTGGTACTTAAATAATGAGCAGATAGCTAAGATTACTAGGCATTTAAGGAAAGTTTTAACACGAATGCAGAGACAAACAGAACAAAGTTGGAAGAAACAGATGATGTAGATAGAGAACTGAATTTAAAACAAATGTGCACACATATGCCCAGAGAGATAAGAATAGAAGATGCAAAAATGAAAAAGAATGTTGAAGAGAACAAAATAAAATACCCTAGGAAATTGAGAACTCACAGCAGAAATAAAAATGCAATAGAAATACCGAAAGAGAAATTGAGGAAATCTACCAGAATGTGGAGAAAACAGGAGTTCAGAAATGAAAGAAGAAAATTAAGGAACAGGGGAAACAGATGGGAAAAAAAATCAAAGAAAATTCAGGAAAATTTTTCCCAACTGCAAAACACAAATTCCCAGATTGAAAGACTCCACAGCGGTCAGCGTAATGGATAAGAACAGATTCTCAAAAGACAGATCACTGAAAAATGTCAGAATACGGGTTACAACGAAGATCCTCAAAGATTCCAGAGAGGATAAAACAAGTTGAATACCAAAAAATCAAGAATCAGAATGGCAACAGAGTCAACAGCCACCCTAGAAACAAAGACAACAAAAGAACAACACATTTTAAATGCTGAGGGACGGTAATTTCCAATCCAGAATTTTACATCCAGTGAAATCTAAAATAGGTAAGAGGTAGGAATAAAAGCATGCAAGGTATCAAAAAAAAAAAAAAAAATTACCTCAAGTATCCCTTCTCAGTAAACTACCAAAGCAGATTTTACCAAATCAAGGGAATAAACCAAGACAGAAAAGACCAGAACAGTTAACAATGATGTAAGAAACTAAAGGCTTAAATACACGGAGAACTACACCACCATCACAGATAGGAAAACTCAGTATTTGCCAATTCTTTCTTAACTGATCTACAGTTTTAACGCAAACCAAATCAAAACCCCAGCAGGAATTTTTTTGGTAGGTATTGACAAGCTAATTCTAAAATGTATAAGGAAAGACAAAAGAACCGTAACAGCCAAAATAGTTCTTTAAAAAGAAGGAAAAGGTTAAAGGAATCACACTACTTGATTTCAATATACAGCATAAAGCTAGCATAAAACAGATGAATGAAACAGAATAGAAAGTTTGGAAATGGACCCACACGTATGGTTGGTATCTAATCGCTTCTCGGCCTTTTGGCTAAGATCAAGTGAAAAAGGTACAAATGCAATTCAGTGGGAAAATGTATAGCATTTTCAACAAATTGTACTGGAATAATTAGACACCCATATGCAAAAATGCAAACAAACAAAAAACCCAACTTATACCTCAAACCCTCTATAAACAACTCAAAATGGATCACAGACCTTAATGTAAGATGTAAAAACAGAAAATTGTAGGGCAGTGTGTAGATCTAGTTGCTTCACTGGGGAAGTGATCCAAGGGTCTACCTACTCCTAACACAGTCAACCAATTCTGTTGTTTTCAGCCTCTTTTCTCACCCATGCCCTCAGGGATCCCTGGGCCTTAGATTCTAGGTGATCGGGATCTACATTTATGCCACCCCAAGGAGTTTGGAGAAGGAGCAGAAATAAGTGCATATTGAATCCACCATGTTGATCAGATTCACTGGTCTCATTTCAAGCAGAAAGATGTTCTGAACTCTTCCCAGATCTTGCAGTTTAAAGGCAAAAAAAAAGTTTTCTTCCTCCAATTCTAGTTCACCTTCTTCCCTCCTTTCCTTCATTTTCCTTACACAGAAAGGTATTTTATTTCATAAAATAAAGCCGCATAGACATTTTAAAAATATTAAGTAAATTTTTAAAAAGTCCATGGGATCCAGATAAAGATCAAGATCCCTGGTATGATGTGAAGGGAAATCTCAAATCAAGAGCTTTACAGTAGGCCTGAAAACCGGCCAGCCTGGACTGGAGCTATGGAAGAGATCGAGTCGGGAAATTGAAATTGAAATGAGTATCTAAGGTAGCTGAGCTGACTCAAAGAAATTCACACAACTAGGCAAGAATTTAGAGGTAAATTATTCATTAAGTGCATAGAAAACTAGGTAAACAGCAAAACAAGACAATTATCTCCAAGAGCAACAAAAGATTATGTAAGATTGAGGAAATATTACATGACTCAGCTGTGAAGAACACTTACATAGTCATAATGTAAAGACTGAACACTGATCCAAACAAAATTATGATATATCTACAGCAGGAGGATAACAGGGTGTGCCCATGGGATGGGGCAAAGAATGGTGTTGCAAGAGAGCTCAATCTTCATCGTCCATAACAGGAGGCCAAAATTAATGCCAGAAACTGAAGAACCAGGAGGCAGCAATACACGCATGTTAGAGATACAGAGGCAAAAGCAAAAGATTTAGTTCAAAGATTTGAAAGTGATGGCCTCAGGGCAACAGAAATGGGAGAGACTTAAAAAAAAAATCCTGCTAGAAATGTTTGACTCTCTAAAAATATATGCATGTATAGCTTTGATAGGAATAAAAAAATAAATTTTAAAAGTCAAAGCATAGGAGGGGAAAAAAGGGGGAGCCCAGAATAGTACAGGATCTGGAATCATGACATGTAGAAATGGTTGTATAAATTAAGGGTTTTTAAGTTTAAAATACACACAAACTTGGCACACATTAAAGGCTGATTTCTATCTTCAGTTCAGTTATTCTACCCGGCTAAAGGGTGCAGAATCAGAACCAATAGTAAAGTTACATGGACACAAGAGCTCAGCTGTGCAAAAATGAAGACATTTCTACTAACTGCCTGAAAGCAGAATTAACTATCTCAGGAAGCAGTGAGCTCTCTGCTGATGGAGGTATTTAAGCAGAGCCTAAACAAAGTCCACTTAGTGGATATGATACCTTGGTGGGTTGGGCTACAGACAGACCTCAAGGCCCTGCCAGTTGTGGGATTCTGTAAAAGGATTTCATGTAATAATCTCCTTTGAATTAGTACTATTGTAAAGAAGGGCTAGGAACTCTGGTAGGTGAATAAGCTTAGGCACTTAGGGCATGTGTGTCTCTTCCTTCTATACCACCTTCTTTTAGCTTTTGACTTTTCATTTCAAAAGTTTTTTTTTTTTAAGATTTATTTGCGAAAATGCGCCCGCATGCGCGCGCAAAAGAGAGATAGAGAGAGAGGAGAGAAAGTACGAGTAGGGGAGGGGCGGGTGGAGAAGCAGGCTTCCTGTTGAGCAGGGAGCCCACCTCAGGGCTAAATCCCAGGACCTCAGGACCGCGACCAGAGCTGAAGGTAGCCACTCTGAGCCACCCAGGCGCCCCCATTTCGAAAGTCTTAAATATATTTACATTTGGTTATGAATCACATAAAATATTTTTGGAAGCAGATGAAGTGTAAATACTTAGAGAGTAGAAGAGAAAATGCCCATCTGAGTGGGAGAAAGCTGGACGAGAATCAAGAAGCTGGCTGGTCTTATGTAGTGATAAGAGACAACTGAAGAACCCACTCTGGGCCCTGTGG